TATATAAAAAGATAGAACATTATATTAATATCCTTATACTGCCATCGTAAAATCTGTCGAAGAAGATAGGCATATTACTGAGGTGGAAAATCAGGACGAATTTTAAAGTGAAAATAACACTCCTCAATATTGCTTTCTCGAGAATACCTTGATCCGCTCTCCAGATCGGGCTGTTACAAGATTTTGTGTTCACCAAAACAACCAGCACACTGAATAGAAGAAATGAGTGTAGGAAGTTAAGCGAAAACTATTTGTGGCCTTTGGATAGGTTTAGAGAGAGGGGGTGGAAGGAGAAGTACGACCGAGCAAGAGGAGGCTTAAGTGGGCTGGAATCTGGTTTTGCATGTCACATCACACTCATTTCAAGGTCAATGTATTCAAACAACACGCGTACAATGGGACGCAATCACATGCGATCACATTGCAGGATCAAGGGCATAAGTGAAGAGTGCAGTTGTTCGGTTTCAATTGCACCCATTTCACGCATCATCTGTAGCCATTTAATTTAACTTATGAGCAAACATATAGGCAAAGCATAGAACATCCAACCAAAACATGAGATGCCTAAGTGGACCAAATTGGAATATAAGGAGGAAGTAGTTAACGGGCTGGGCACCTTTCTTGCCTTCGTGTTTTAGGTAAATTATCGTTTATCATGGTTTCTTGCCCTGACGATGTCCGTCACATGACGGACGAAAGCTCAGCAAGGATTCATCGGGGTTGCAGGGCGGTGCGACGAGGACCTATTCGCACAAATCTACAACCACTGCTCCAAGGCAACCGCCCCCACAGCCTACGCTGTTACCGAACGAAATGAAGGATACTCCAAATTATTCTGCGCTGTTTTCGTTTGATATGAATACTTGGAATTTTTTAAAGCATGTTTTCTCTTCCTCTAGTAATTAACTATTTCAAGACGTAATATTTGTGAAACCATTTTTTTTCTGAACATTTCAGCTGACTGACATCTAAAATTTAAGCAGATATTTTCGCGCTTGCGTCTATCTTATTTTTTTATTTTGCAGTGCTTATCTCTGGAATTTCGCATTTTATCCTCAATTTTCTCAGCTTTGTAATTAGACCTAGGATAATTATAACCCATAGTTTACTATTAATCGACTTGTTGGCCTCAGGAGCAATGCCCTTCTGTGGCAAATATGAATATTATCTTTATTTCACTTTGCTCAGCTTAATGTTTCCTGTCATGGCCACAATGCGATTAATAATACAAATTCACTTTTGTTTCTATGGCCTATTTTTTTCATGGCTGATATATACTATTTCCAACGATTTTTATCTTTATTCCTTCAGTAGGTTTGCTCTATTTCGATATTTGACATTTTTATATTAAATTTATATCTGTTTTTTATGGATGAAATCTGAATCTGTTCGTATTGGTCTTTATGGTTCTTGTATTGATAATATCAAATCCTGGATTTGAGATAGTTTTGACCTAGATTATCTACTGGGAGTAATCTTTAAGACTATGTATATTAGTTCCACCGAATGTCTTAGTGGCACTTAAATAAAATTCATTCTTTTGCCTAAATTACTCTTAGTTGTCATCAACTGCCGAATTTCGTTATAAACCAGTTTTTAGTCATGGATCTTTTTGCATACCTTGATGTTTTAATTTTTGCTGACATGTGGAATATGCTATTATAATTATTGCTCCAAATAATATTTCAGAACGTGACTTGCTCTGAACATACCTTACATCTATTTATTACCTTTATAGAACTCAGCCTATTAAGTGAAGATTTACTTAATGAGGCCATTTCCTGCTTCATGAGCTTTATTGAAACGCCTCAATTACTCTCTTCCGAACCAGCACTGGCTATTGAGGTTGAAAATTCGGAAAAAGGCCCAACTACGTTGTCTTGGCAGCGTCTGGCTCAAATAGAAGAGCAAGTGAAGACGCATTTGGCCGAGTATGTTTTTAGAGCTGTACCCAATCTTCCTGATGTGAGGCACTCAGAAGTGTCTATTGAGGTTGGGGATAACGAAGAAACAAATATAGAAATCCATCCTGAGATGAAAGGACAGAAAAAGTTATTGAAGAGGACTTCTCTCCTGATGCTTTTATCAGAAGCCCGCCGAAGAACTACTTTAATCTTACCAGAAGTAAGTTTATTCATCTTTATTGGTTTCCATGGTGTACCAATGTTGCCGAATTATTTTTAGATCAATTGAGCTAAATCCCTGCTAGTTTTCATGCTTTATTACAAATTCGTAATCAATTAAATTCATTAAAATACTCATCCACTACTTCTCTAGATTTTATCGCGCAGTTACATGGATTATAGAGCTCGATTTTAGGCTGTCTAGTCTAGGCCTATATTGAAGCTTGTTACTACTTTCCGTCTGCAGCCTCTAACATGGAGGCAACATTTGGGGTAAATTAATTTGGTCACCTCAGCTCATTTTGTATGAGTAAAATCATCAAATTTAGTAAATTTGCTTTTGGACAGGTTTTTTAACAATAATTGGTCTTTATAGCATTCAGATTGTTCTCCATTGCAAAAACAACATGGCAACTATGTAATATTAATTTTTTTCGTTTACCTGCCCATGTCTAAGAATCTCACAATTGGTCAAGCCATCACCGCTACGGGAGGCTCTTCCGTCCTTGAATCCCATCCAGCGGATGCTGAAATTTCTTCGAGTCCTTTGGTAGTTACAAATTCTGA